TGCAAGTCAGTTTCCAGGTGTCGGAGATATCCGTCGAGTAGAGGGCTACTCACTGTAACGGTATCTGCCAGCTCTGAAGCTGTCCATTGTGCCTTCACATTCAGCTACTGCGCAGTTCTGTGCTCTGTTTGTGAAATACCTACATTGCTGTGGGTACTGGAGAGCAAACTGAGGACGCTGCATAGTGCTTGGCGAGGAACAATTTGAAGAAAAGGCATGAATTTGCCATCTGTCTTTGACAGTTGTCTGTCTTTCTGAAAATGGAGTTTTGTTACTTACCACCCATACTGCATTACACAGTAGATTTTTGTTTACTTTTATATTCTGCTTTTAGAACTTTTGCAACCAGTAAATGACTTAGCAAGAAAATATGTTTATGTAGAAAATGAAGTGTCAGTTTACCCACTTTTTCGATTACTTGGGTGGTGGTTATTTTTTTCCCCATAATTAACTCCTCTCAAAAGTTGTCTTCTCAGAGAGGTTGCTGTGTTGTCAATCATGCCAAATTGTATGAGCTTATGTGCTACAGTTTTGGCACAGAAACTGATATTCATTAGGAAATTGTGATCATCGTGATAAAAAGGAGATGCACAGTTGTCTTTTCAAAACAAACATTCACATTCTCTTCTTTACTCTTCTTTCAGTGCCTGTCAATCTGCTACTCATTTAAATTACCACTTGTGCATACAGTGATTCCACTCTTCCATTGGCTAATCTCTTGAGACCATACAGTCAGCAAGAGGCATTTCTAATGGGTCCACTGCTTATGGAAGGTTCTTGGCATCTGACTTGTCTTGGCAGAAGGAGGAGCAGAAAATTGGGATGAGGAAGGGAAAGTTGGAAAAATGGAAGAAGATTCATGGAGATTGCCTTGCATTCTTTTCCTCTGTTGGCCAGTCACAGTTCCAAGCACTTTTGCAGTGGTTTGCTGGTGAGAGAAGTGGTTGGCTGCACCAAATAGCACCTTACAACATTGCAGTGACCGTTTTCTCCCTGCTACACTTCTCAGCCGTATATAAATGCTAATAGTTTGACCTCAAAGAAGACAACAAATGATGGAGGTCATCAGGTTAAGGGTGGCAGTACTATATGAAAGCACAGCTCAGGCTTCTCTTCACTTGTCTCTAGCAAAGTGCACACAAAAGTAATCAGGGTTCAAATCTACTTTCTAGGTCTCCTGATTTAGCTCAGCCAACTACCTGAGGCATTAATTTTTTCTTGGGCATTGGTAGTCAGGAAGCACTTTGGAGCTGTAACTAAGATCAGAGCTCCATTAGTTTAGTCATTGTGTGCATATGTACTAAGAACTTAAATCTCTTTTTTTGAGCCAGTGTATTTTGTCTTGGATTGTTGCAGGCTTAGCTGACATGCAGTCAGTCACTTTTTAAGCTGCAATAACCTTTCTGCATGCCTTACCTCAGAGACTCATACCCTTTCCAGCTGAGATAACTATTAAAGCCAAGAGCATAGTAAGAAGAAACAATTCACTAGCAAGACTGCTGCCGGCTGCTCATGTTTGTGAGTGACAGATTTAAAACCCTGCTTAATATGGTCTAGACTTCCAAGGCTGGACAGATAACACTGAACACCATGAATGCTGATTACTGGCGGATCTTTTGGAAGAGAAGCTGCTGCCCACTTTTTATGTACATGAGTGATCCTCATGGCTTCTTCCGAAGGATAGAGGAGTTCCTCCCAGTGTTGAGATGTAGTCAGCTGCCTCATTGACATGTATATGTGCTGATTGACTCCTGTCTATTTCGAAGAGATGGTTAAATTTCATCAGCACCCTACAAAACATAGTTGTTAAAATATCTTTCCTAAAAAGAATGCTGAATTGTTCCAGTTGCTGTATTTTTTTCACGCTGGGACTGTTCTTCCCAAGCCTGCTCTGAGTTAATTGAAAATAATAGTCAGCATCAGGCAGTTAGTGAAAAAGTTTTCTGAGATGGGTTTACCCCCCCCCCCAAAAAAAAGTCACTACTCATTTCAGCTGTAAATACCAAACTGGATTAAGTAGTAACTTTTCTTAAGTAACTTCTTTTCTTAACTTAAGTAGTAACTTTTCTCTCACTAAAATCCTTTCCTATGCATTAATGTAATACAATATGAAATAGCTTAATAAGTATCATTGTAATCCTCCTTTGCTTTCATGCCTCCAGCTCTTTAGATCAGTCACATGAAGGTCAATAGTAAAGGAATGTTGTGGACAAAAGGTCAATCATTGTTTACTGATGCTGTTGGGAAGCAGCTTCATAGCTACTACTCACTGTTTTGTACCATCCTTTACTACTGCTGATCTGTGGGTAAGGGGAGAGGACAACAGTTATCTCATTTCTTTTTATTTCCTAGATGCTTTTATAGGCTTTGTCATCACATTAGCTGAGTGCCTCCCAGTCTTTGTTATATCAGACCTCTCATTGTCCTTTTAAAAGGTGGAGAAAGTAGTCTCCACTGTGGAGGTGGTCCTGAAATGCAGAGAGAGTTACTAATTCCTTGGTCAGAGAGGGAGTTGAATCCCATCCCCTGTAGTGCCTGTGAAGCACCCCAGTGATAGCTGAGAAATAAGCAAGATGTATCCTCTAGGCAAAATCCCATCTTTCTTTCTCCAAGAACATGAGGTCCACTCGAGACATTGTCTGACTCCTTGTCTAAAAGGTGCTACCTTTTTTGTTAACTTTACACTAAGTGGACTTCATTCTTGAAGGGTGGGCAAGAACTTTTCAAGATAAAGTGGAATTCTTCTGCCTTATTTTGGACAAGCTGCAGGGTATCTAGTTTGTGAGAAGAACATCTGGACTTGTCTTAGGCTGAAGTGGTTTAATAATCAGCTGGTAACCTCATTGACTCAAATTGTTTAATAGACAATTCCTGAGCTTTCCAGATAGGAGTGCCTCCATTTATATCAACCTCTGTACAACTGAGCAAAAGGGATTCTGAAAACATGTTGTGAGAGGGAGGATGAGGACTTCTCAACTGAGATGTAAGACGGGGTTATTACAGGCCATGAAGCAGCTGCACAGCCTGTAGGTCTTGTTTGTGGGCTTATCAGTGAGAATTAAGGACAGGATGATATGAATGAGGTAATTTTTTTCACAGTTTGAAGATGAAGAAGATGCAAAAAGTCAGTTTAACTGAAGCTGCTTTAAGAAGGCCTTCGACTTAGTAACCTAGCTTTACATGGGTGTACTGAATGTTGGTCAGTGCAAATAAATGTTCAGCACACTGGGAGAAAGGGGGTGGGGAGAGGAAGTGAAAGAGAAAGATCCATACTATGTTATTCCCCAGCTGTTTTATTTGCTTTGAAAGGAAAATGCACCATTTTAATTTGCAAGAAGAAGAGTATTTTGAATTATTTCATTTGCTTTATGCTGGTGTAAGAATTTCGGAGAACTTTCTGTGCCTGTCTAATAGGAGGATAGTCCTTAGTTGGACTTACAGCTTTTTTTTCCTAACATCATGCAAAGTCAGAAAGACATTTTTTTCCACCTTTGTAGGGACTTGAAGTATTATTTTCAAAAGACCAATTCAGAGTAATTGCACACCTGACTAGATGTTGAATGGGACCTCAAATGTGACACTAATCTGCTTCATTCACTTTGAAAAAGCATATTCTTTGTGCGTTTTCCTTTTAAAATCAAGGCTGAAGGCATCCTCTTTCCCTGCTTGCAGTACTTGAGCTCTGTGGATTGAAGGAAGGGCATAAGAGGAGGATATTACAAACAAAATAAAATAATAGCTTTGGCATTTTGCAGCAGGTTATCTGGGAAGAGGGTCTCTTCAGTGTGAGTAAAACTTGTCAGTTGCATGGTGATTAAAGTGTACTAAAAGACATACAAGAACTATTCAGGCTTACCTCAACAAAGCTACATTTCCTCCATTCTTTTGTTTGCCTTTGGTGTAGTCTAAGTCTTGGCACTTTTTCTGTGAAGAGATGCTATCATTCCCTACCCTTCCTCCATTCATGCAGATCTGTCCTTTGCAAGAAAGGAAACTAATTCAGGTAGTCAGGTAGCATGATACTCTCGTTCTTTCTTCTCCCCACCTTTGGAAGAAGATAGTAATTGAGTCATTGAGATGCTTTTCATATAAAAATTCACTATAAAGAAAGACGGGTATAATCTATGGGAGCAGATGGCATTTCTTGGTAGATTTTGCTGAACTGGCATCAGTGATAGGTACCATTGCAACTAGACTGAATAAAGTTTTTTGCCACATGAGTGTAAAATAATTTTTTCCCCCAGATATGAAAGGCAGATATTGATCAGACTTGCACATCCTCAAATCTTTACTCTCTTAGCATGATGTATAAGATACTTGGATAGTCTCCTTCCAGTTTCTGCAGTGCCAAAAGTAACATTACTGTCAAGCACATATGATGATGTCCAGTCACCATGGCAAAGACATCAGTGGGAGCAGGTGTGGAAAATGAACTCCTCCATGTGTTTACAAAGCAAGGTCATAAATTGAAGCAACAGGTGATATAAATAAAATACCAACAGAAGTTTTCTAACAATAAACATAATCAAGTACTGGAATTGCTTGCCCAGGGATGCTGTATGATGTGTGATAGGCAATGCTTAAATATTCTTAAAAACAGGTTGAAGAAAGAAACTTCTTTCAGAAATGGTCTTAGATGTAGATAATATGCCTTCAGACAAAGGAATGGATTATGTGTACTACTAAGATTTAGTTTGTTCTACTTTTTTATGATTTCTTGAACACATTAATAGACCTGTGGAAATATTTTGGCATCTTTTCCATCTGTTGACCTGTAAGAAATGATCTCTTGGAAAATCAGTGTAGAAAATTTGCCCCTGAACCATTGGGTAATTTGTATAAATTCCTTCTCCTGAGTTTTGATCAAGAATTGAAGACTTGCTTTTCAATATGCCTGTTAAGACTGTAAAGGGGTTTTATGACATGGTATGTGTGATACATACCTTTGCAAGCAAGACTTACTCTTGGCAAATATATACGTGTTTTTGTTTAATTCATAGGAAACAATGTTATGAGAACCATCCATGGTGTTGGAGAGATGATGACCCAAATGGTGCTGAGCAGAGGATCTATATTTCCCATCAGTGCCCCTGATGTACAGCCAAGCATTCACCCAAGCAAGCAAGCCAGCACCTCAGACAGTGAAGATGTGATTGTAATGGACACCAAACTGAAAATAATTGAAATTTTGCAGGTAATAATGATGGATGCGGTTACATAGCAGTCAGTTCACAGTTCTTTACTTATTCTCATAGTGGCAAGTTCTGTCACCTTACATTCTTACTATTCACTGTTCATTGTAAAAATAATACTTCGATGTGGGGAAGAATACGACTCTGTGTGAACAACTGTCCAGTTGCGGTCCTCACTCTGATGCACCTACTTTACTTTTGAAGGAACTAGATGCTGCAGAAACTCCATACTTATAACTGTGAAAATGCAGAGCTTGTCCTTTAATCTTCCTCACTAACGTTTTCTGAAGACAGTGTGTCTGTTTCCAGTCTCATTAACACATTGTAGACTGGGGTAGCTTGCTTGACTTTAGTATTTAACTGTTCTGTTACACTAGTTTGATGAAGGGCGGAACTGGACATAGACCCACTGAAGTCATGCAAGACCATGCACTTTTGAAGTCTGTTTCAGGTTTCCAATGTTAAATTGAGAATAATCTGTGAGCTGCTGTGATTTTTCTCCCAGCTGAATTGACAAGCTATATGACACTAGCATGCCTCCTGAGATATAATTTTCACTTTGTCTTATTAGTAAGTGAAGTGACACATATTTGTTCTGTATTATCAGATCTCAGTTTCTGCAATAGTTATTCACTGAAAGAATGTTTTGATGTTTTCTATAAACTCTGTGGATCTCTGTGTACCAGTGTCATTTTTGAAGGATTCCATTTGTTCTGACTACTTAAAAATTACTTAATTATATTAATTGTCATCTGAAAGTCTATCAATTGTTAGACTATCCTCAATACTGCATACTTCGGTTCCAGAGCTCCTTAAGGCTTATGGTGAAGGATAGTGTTACGAAGTTGTATCATCAAAATAATACCATTCATGTGTATTGCTTCTCATTTTCATTTGGTTTTTGACTGAGTTTCTCTCCATACTATCTTGCTATACTGGTTGATGCCTAGGAGGATGATTCCAGGACATTAACCTTGTCCTGTGCATTCCCTGGCTGATTACAGGCAAGAGAACCCATTTTGTCTCATTCTTTCCTTTTTTACAGCATGTCCAGTGCAAGAGGAGCACCCGGGATTGGAGAGCATTTAATCCTAATTTGTTACTTAATCTGTGGTTTGTTAGTCACATGGTCAAATTACTGCAGATTAGCAAATTGTCATATGTTGGGTGAAACACAGTAAATGTGCACATATATGATTTTAGTTCACAAGAAGTACAAAATAATTCCGTTTCATTTAATATGCAATGAAGGAGGATTGATTTAAATCACTTTACCTTTCATTACTTTGCTATTACCCTAAAAGGAGAGTACGAATATTTTAGATTTATTGTATTATCATGCATAGCTAGTACAACGGTGATTAAAACTATTCTGTTCTAAGAAATGTGTTTAGAATAATTTAATTCTCAGTATATCCTCTTATTCCTTTAAGTAAAGGCATTTTTTACTTCTGCCATCAGCCAGAATTAAACAGATGGCCTGATAGACTTAGTTGACTATGCATGGACTTGAAATCTTTATTTTTTAAAAATCTTGCTTTTACAGTTATAGGGTAACTTAATCATGGAACCAAAATAAACCTACATTTTTTTTCTTTTTTGTTCAAAGATTTTAAAATAAAATATTTTATTTCTTAAACTATAATTTTATTTGCTTTTAGTTGACATAATCCTAGTGAAATCCTATTACACTGTTCTGGGTCTGAGAAGCTTTTCTGACTTTAGTTAGAGATCAAAGAAACAGGTTGCCATCATTTGCTAAGCATCACCTGTCACCTAAGTCTTGGCAACTTAGCATACGTGCTTTCACCCCCACTGATTGTAAAATATGTTAAATGATCTTAAACCTGTTTCATTGTATGCTTGCATTTGCTGTGGGCGAGGAACATAAGTATGGGAAACACTGACACACAGCTGATTCAGATTTCAGGCCTGTCAGCTTGACTTCAGTGCCCAGGAAGCTGATGGAGCAGCTCATCCTGAGTACCGTCACACAACACATGAGGGACAACCAGATGCTCAGGCCCAGTCAGCATGGGTTTATGAAAGGCAGGTCCTGCTTGACAAATCTGATCTCCTTCTATGACAGGGTGACCCACTTACTGGATGAGGGAAAGGCTGTGGATGTTGTCTACCTTGACTTTAGTAAGGCCTGCAACACCATTTCCCACAGCATTCTCCTGATGAAACTGGCTGCTCGTGGCTTGGATGGGCACCCGCTTTGCTTGGTAAAAAACTGTTTGGATGGCCAGGCCTAAAGAGTTGTGGTGAATGAAGTTAAATCCAGTTGGCGGCCGGTCACGAGTGGTGTCCCCCAGGGCTCAGTTTTGGGGCCACTCCTGTTTAACATCTTTATTGATGATCTAGACGAGGGGATCGAGTGCACCCTCAGTCAGTTTGCAGATGACCCCAAGTTGGGTGGGAGTGTTGATCTGCTCGAGGGTAGGGAGGCTCTGCAGAGAGACCTGGACAGGCTGGAGCCATGGGCTGAGGCCAACTGGAGGAGTTTCAATAAGTCCAAATGCCAGGGGCTTCCCTTGGGCCACAACAACCCCCAGCAGTGCTACAGGCTTGGGGAGGAGTGGCTGGAGAGCTGCCAGTCAGAGAGGGACCTGGGGGTGTTGATTGACAGCTGGCTGAACAGGAGCCAGCAGTGTGCCCAGGTGGCCAAGAAGGCCAATGGCATCCTGGCTTGTGTCAGCAATAGCGTGGCCAGCAGGGACAGGGAAGGGATCTTACCCCTGTCCTCGGCACTGGTGAGGCTGCACTTCGATTCCTGTGTTCAGTTTTGGGCCCCTCACTACAAAAAGGACATTGAATTACTTGAGTGTGTCCAAAGAGGGGCAGCGAAGCTGGTGAAGGGTCTGGAGCACAGGTTGTACAGGGAGCAGCTGAGGGAACTGGGGGTGTTTAGTCTGGAGAAGAGGAGGCTGAGGGGAGACCTCATTGCCCTCTACAGTTCCCTGAAAGGAGGTTGCAGAGAGCTGGGGATGAGCCTCTTTAACCAAGTAACCAAGGACAAGAGGGAATGGCCTCAAAATTGCACCAGGGAAGGTTTACTGCATATTAGGAAGCATTTCTTTACAGAAGGGGTTGTTGGGTGTTGGAATGGCCTGCCCAGGGCAGGGGTGGAGTCCCCATCCCTGGAGGCTTTTAAGAGTTGGGTCAACATAGCACTGAGGGGTATGGTGTAGTTGGGAGCTGTCAGTGTTGAATTGATGGTTGGACTAGATGATCTTCAAGACCTTTTCCGATGTAGACAATTCTGTAATTCTGTGATGGGCAGTCAGTTGTTGAAGTATGGGCTGTATATGTGTCAGTCCTTAAATTAGGACTAATGTTTCCAGCCTAGTTATTTTTCTCACCTTTCCAATATAAAAGCAGGACTTACGGCTCTGAATTAGGATTTTTCCCATATGAGTTTCAAATTTCACAGCTGAGGAACAAAAGGCACCAACAATTAGAACAAAGCAGAGTGTTGAGTGAGAGCTCCAATAAAATTACAGTGGTAGCTTCTAAAGGCAAAATTTTTTTTTTTTAATGCAACATGCTGGCAACACTGCTAGCAGCTCATGAAGGAAATGCTATTTGCTCCTCACATCCTCAGCTGATCATTAGCAATGTAACAAAAGACACCACCAGGCTTGTGCTTCACTTCGTGGGAACCAGGAGTTACAGCAGCACTGCTGCCCTTTGCTGTTGTGCATCTGAGAGGGTGAGCCTTGAGCCTGTCATCTTTACTCTGAGCCCCACTCCACTTCTTATCTTCATGGGACAATGGAAGTCCAGCTGAAATATTAAATAATTGATTTCAACATGGATTCGAATGTACCAATCTGGCTCACAGGCCATGAGGACAAGTCAGTATGCTGGAGCCCCTGGACAAATCCAGTCTGCTTCTTAGTATTCAGCAGTCGATAGGGCAGTATCTGCCAGAGTGGTTGGAGTGAAGAAAGAAATCACAGAAAACTGATGAATGTACTGGATTCTTTTTTCCTTGTGGACATAATTACTTAAAATAATTTACTTAATTTACTTAAAATAATCATGTATCACTGTACATTCCACCACAGAAAAATCCTAACCCATGTTACCAAATGGCAGAAGAAAATTCTTATTTAAAACTTCTTTTCTTGTAGTTTATTCTCAGTGTTAGACTGGACTATAGGATATCCTACATGCTGTCTATCTATAAGAGAGAGTTTGGGGAAAACAATGAAAATGTTGATAGCTCTACAACATCCCCACCTGACACACCAGGGATTGCCTCAGGTAAATACTGCTATTGTATTGCAATGTAAAATAAGTCTGTGTAGACTACTGCAAACAATGAACTTAACTATGTCAGAAAGATGCATGCTGCTTAAAGTTGAAAGCTTTGTTTGAAAGCTGAAAAATGAGAAATAAGGTATTTGTTGGCCTGTCCTCCTTTAAAAAAAAAAGAAATTCCTTTTTTCTATGATGTCAATTTGTTCTGTTATTTGTACTCTTCCCAAAACACTGCACAATGACAAATGTAGTAGAGGGTAGATCATGAAAAAAATTATTAGAGTTGCATGAGAACAGATTTAAGTGAGGTGAATGTGGTATGGGAATGGAGTGCCTTTCTAGGAAGTATTCCTGTGCACACAGAAGTGCTCAAAAGCCTGACTGCTTGTCTGCATGACCACCTGCAAGTAGGGGGGGAATTGCTTTAATTGGAGGTGCTGTATAATAGAGGAGCAGTTAAGGAATACTAAAGTCTTAAGTAGTAAGGTATATTAAAGCTATTCCAAAGCAAAATGACAGTGTGGTAAATGATTTGATTTAGGATAAATATTCTAAAGTTCATGTGTCTGTTTTGTGGAGATTGGCTCATGTAACAGAAAATGTGAAAGTTTTGTATTCTGTGTCATTTGTGGGTCATGGGTGGTGGTTTGTACAGCACCTAGCACCATGGGACTCTGGTTCATGACTACAATTTGGCTCTTTCTCAATAACTGTAATACACAATTTAACTCTGCCCCATGTCCTGTTTCTTCCATACTGCCCTTGCAGATAGTGAATTCTACCTAGTTGAGGAACATGTAGTTAGACCTTTACTTGGTAAACATCTACTTTAAAGAGCAACAGAGCTCATTTTGCTGTGCAGATTAAACAATGATCACTGGCTTTTTATTTTTTATTTTAATTTTTATTTTTTCCAGCAATTGTTCCTGACATAGATGAAATTGCAGCTCAGGCTGAAACCATGTTTGCTGGCAGGTATGTTCTCTGAAGTTTTAACCCTCTCTCTCTCTCTCTCTATCTATCTATATCTATCTATATCTATATATCTATATCTATATCTATATATCTGTTTTTTCACACTGGTATTTCTTATGGGCAATCTGAGTTTATTTGGTGATGCTTATTTTCATACCTCTTCCTTTGGCTGCTTCTTATTGCATATCCAATACATAGATAGAAAAGTGCCAGAAAAGACATAGATTTCAAACAAGCACACAGCCCGGCTGGTACGGATGGCTGTGGGCTTGGAAATGTCCACCCTCTTAGTTGTAAGAGAGTTGGTAGAAAGTTTTTGTCATATTCCCAAAGGCAGCTGGGGAACGGTATACAGGTGTATTGGACTAAACCACACTAATTACTTATTTACCTTATAATGCCTCACATGGGTGCTTTTAAAGAAAGACCTTTTTCTGGTGTATCTTATGGCTGTAGGCCCAGATTTCTTGGATCAGTAGGTTACTGTTGACTTTCAGTATTTCTCATAGACCACATGACCTGTTGTTATTGCACCTTGTGTTTGAACTTACTTAGAAAGTTATTTCAACAATAATCTCTTTCTTATGATTCCTCAAATCAACTGTGGACCACTTTCCATGATCATCTGGACCACCAGAGGCCTGTAGATACAAGTTATGCTTGCAGAGTTTTGGAAGTGATTTCAGCTATGGTGTAAACAAAAGAAAAAAAAGAACAGAAAATATCAATTCTGGAGAGTTATTACCCTTATCACTATATTGGTTGGATTTTATGGGTATAATTATAATTATACCAGCAAAAATGAATTCCATTTAGACAAGGCCATAGACTTTCAAGTATGTCTTGGACCTAGGGAGAAGGATCTGCAGAATGGGCACTCTGGTCTTTCCCCTTTCAGTCCCTTATGCGTTCTCAGTCTTTACCAGCACAAGCAATGCATCCTGTCCTCTCCCTGAACTCCCATAATGTAAAACATTGGATGACATCTGCATCTTTAAAGTAAACAGAGACTGAATGGTTTCTTGGAAACATTATTTCTGCTTTGATATGTTAAGTGTAACTCTGCTTTCTGCCATTCCAGATTATGAATGTGATTCCAGAAATATGATGCTTTTGGCAATTTTTACTATTTTTGAGCTTATTTTTTCTTAAATTAAATTTTAATAGAAGCTGAAAAGGGAAGGAGTTAAAAGGGCCAAATTAATCTCTGATGAACTGCTGTTTACTTCAATTAATTTGTATTGGGAATGAGCTTGACACAAGACATAAATGAATGTTTTTTCAATATGGATTTTAATCACAGTATTTGGCACATATTTTCATTCCATGGTGTCCATTCTGCAGAAGATTGATGCAACAGCATGTAACTGTAGCATTAAAGTCCTTATAAAATATGTTGAAATGATGTTTATAGTTCCATCCTGCAGTGTATTTTATTTCTTTTTAAGAGCTCTGTTAATTGAGGGTTGTGTGTACAGGCATATTTATGTCAAAAGTTTTTATTTTTTCTTATTTATTTTACTTTATTTGGTCCTTTTTTTCCCCGTTTTTATTGCAGAAAGGAGAAGAATGCTGTTCAGCTTGATGATGAAGGGGGCAGAACTTTTTTACGGGTCCTCATTCACCTCATCATGCATGACTACCCTCCTTTGCTCTCAGGTGCTCTGCACCTGCTATTTAAGCACTTCAGCCAGAGAGCAGAAGTTCTGCAAGCATTTAAACAGGTATGGATGTGCATAGTGTTATTTCAGGAAACTGCTGAGGGGATAGTCTTTTCAAAGCCTGCTTTACTTACCAAAATTGCTGGTTTTAGCATGACAGTGTTATATCCTTAGAGGTCCAAATTCAGCAGACATCTTTTTTTTTGTGTTAGAGTTGACCATATGTGCTAGTGTATGTTATAGTTGTAAACCCAGAAATAGTTATTTCTGGTATTGCATCCATTACTGAAACTGTAGGTCCATGGTGACAGCTGGGACACATCTCACAGCATGACATAATGCAGTGATCCCTCAGAGACAGAGTTAGTAGTTCATGTTCTTCAAGCAGTGTACCAGTGTCAGCAATAAAGCATTCCTGTATTCAGGTCTACTTAGACTGGGTATAAAGCTCTCTTGTTATTCCTGTGGTGTTTCTAGTTCTAATGCAAGTGTCTTTGCATTGTGCTCCATTGCATGATACAGATATGCCCAAAGAACAGGAAGAGAGTAATAGATCCAAGCATGATTTCAGCTTTTATTTTTTTCTGCTTGATAATGGTGCATGTGCAGGTTCCATGTATCAGTGGATTAGGATGGGGAGATTGGATGTTATGAAGCTGCATGACAGAGACATTCTGTTATGTAACCCTATATAATATATTTTGATAAGACCATTTGATGCTTATTTCAGGAGTTTGATAGCATGTTGTCTCCATGTTATGTAAGATGTGGAGGTCTTTCTTGTTTAAAAACAATTTGATGATAAAGACCTGGAAAGGTTTTATTTAATGTTTTTGCATTATGGCCTCCCACCAGATTGTTAACATTAGTCCATGCTGGTTAGTTGCATAAATGGCTGTTATTTCCAGGTAAGAAGGATTGAGCAGATTAACATGTTTTCATAAAGGATGAAAAAAAGACTGTTAAAAAACATGGAATATGAATGTCTGTGGATGGACAACATTCATAAATTCTGTAAAATAACAAGGTTTTACCAAGCTAAGATAGAAGATGATGAAAATTTTATATTACAAAATAGTGACTATTTGCCTGCATGTACTGATTTTATTAAAAAAAAGATTGTCTGTATTGGTATTCTTGTCTGCCATGTTACCTTAATCTTTTACATGTGTGATTTCTTAATAGTGCATGTTAATTTACTGTAAAGATTGTTATTTTTTTTAAGTATTATCTTCATTAATAATACTGGTAGAGCAAAGAGCATTACAAAGAAAGAAAATGTGTAGGTCATACTAAATCAAGGACTGCAAATAACAGTGAAAAAAATCCAGATAATCAGAGCAGTACACAAAAAGTGAGATTAATCTTAGTAAGAGGCAACCACTCAGATGATGGGAAATTACATGAACCTGAAAGTCAGTGTGAGCTATATTCCAACAAGTTTTTCTAAGATGGTCTAACCATGTTAAAATATGTTATTTTTCAGTATTTGTTTATGGTGATGTAGTTTGATCATTAAGGTTGCTGTCCATTCTGACTTTTCTTTGGATGTCCTGATTCCTCCTTTTTTTTCTTTTTCTTTTCTTGTGAAGAACTGCTATTTCTAACTGTATTGTTTTAATACCATGTAATTTTATTGTTTTAATACCCTGAGGATCATCATCAGTGCATCAGAGCTAACTCTGCATAGAACTCAAGAGCTTATAAATCCATGCTTGTGCTGAAGATGTTTTGTAGTGTATTAAAGAAGGCTAGAGAATGTTGTCAATGTTTTAACTATCCTGTTTTGGGCAGTTACAGTCTCCAGCTCTGTTAAAGGTTTTTGATGAATGGGGGCTAAAAAGCATGTGTGTGTCATGTTTCAATTTCATAGGTAAGGTTACACAAAGCACCTGGAAAGAAGGGCTTAGAATGGAAATCATCAAGCGAATAACCCAGGCATAAGTGCTGGTGCTACTGCTATAATAGCTTTACAATTTTCTGTATTTCCAGGTTCAGTTGCTTGTGTCTAATCAAGATGTTGATAACTACAAGCAAATCAAGGCTGATCTTGATCAGCTACGTCTGACTGTAGAAAAATCAGAATTGTGGGTTGAAAAGAGCAGCAATTATGAGAGTGGAGAGGTGGTTGACAATCAAACCAAAGGAGGAGAAGACCCAGTGGAGGTGGGTTAAAAGTCTTTGCTGTTAGATTTGTTTAAATATTGATTAATGAACAAGTGCAAATTGTCAATCAAAACAGCAAAGCAAGACTGTGCAGGATTCTGGCTGAGCTTTAGGAATAGACATAATAGGAAATAAAACCTCTTTTATCAATGTGTTTAATATTCTCTCTCACTGCTTTCAGCAACTGTGTTCTTATGTCACAGAGCTGCCTTCGTTTCTGGCAAGCCACAGTGTATGGCATCACTCTGTGGCCAAAGAAGTAATCTAGGGATCACGTGTTGGCAGCTGTGTTGAGCTGCTGGAAGAAAGGAGTAAACAGTATCAGTTCCTGCAACTAGGGGTGAGGACCCAGAGTTTCAAACATCATGAGTAATTCCACTCTCCACCAAAAATAATTTTTTTTTTTTTTTTTTTTTTTTGACCCTTGTCATACTACACTCCTGAGATGAGATATATTGTGATTTGAGAATCCTTATTTCTTGGGACAGTGGTCCTGCTCTTTCTCTGATATAACTTAATTGAATTTAGTGGTGTCAGAACTGGGGATGAATCTGGACTTTATGAGCATAAGTATGTGGGATTTCCTGCATTCTTTTCTCAAGCATAGATCTGGTAGGAAAAATATTCCTTTATGTATTTAATGAATGGAAAAGGTAAGGGGGAAACAGGATACAGAATTGCAGAAGGATATTTACAAGGTTTTTTAGCTACAGAACATTTTAAAAGTGTAAATAGATCCTTTTTATTCCTATGGATAGCCCAAATAGCAAAGAAACTGCAGGAAGAGGGGACAGAACAATGTGCTTGAAAGAAAAGTTCCTCTAAATGGGATATTTTCAGTGGGTTTTTTTGCCCCAGGAGGCATCTGTGCAGATCTGGAAGAGTACTGTATCAGAACAGTAATAAGTATAATAATCTGCACAACTGGTTAGATCACCTCACCTGGTGGTAATTCCATGAGAACTGTGCCAGGTTACAATAGCTCAGAATCTTGTCCATTAATTTTTTCCTTAATGTTAAATTATTCTTTAACAGTCAGGAAATGTTTTACTTGGCAAAACTACTTTAGATAGTGAATACTCTCTAAGATCTTGTCAGATGTAAGAGGTGAGGTGCTGGTCATAATCTACAGTGTGTGAAGCAGGTGGCTGGCTTCAGACAGATAAACATCCCTGTGAGATCCCATGCTTTCTTGGAATGGATGACGGGTATTCAGTACTGAACTGGATGAACCTCTAAGTCTTTAGGGAATATGCTTCATTTGCCTGTGCTTAATTTTTCCCAACCAACATTAAAGTGCATACAAGGGCTTAAATTTACATTCCGGAACAGTTTTATGTTAAATCAAAGTTTCTGTCCTCACCAAAGCACACTGCAAGATTATCACAAGAATTTTTAAAAATAAGATTTTTTGTTTTTTTTTTCTTAGGCTTCTGAGGCTTTTAGGGTAATTGTTTCTACCTTTCTATGGTAACCGGGGGGGCGGGGCTAGAAACCTACTTTTTTCCTTTTTTTCAGTTATATGACTCCAGACATGGGATTTGTAGAAAAAAAGGCCATGTTTTTCTAAATAAAGTATCCAGAGTTCTATGCAGGAAAAAGAACAGTTCTTACATCCATGCAGGATCATCTTCATAGGAACTGGAGATCAGAATTATAGGAGTGCTTGGAGTTAGGATAGGCAAAAATTAGACACCATATAGGATTAGGAAGAAATGCTGAAACTGATCTCACTTAACAGCCTTTCTTGAGAAGGGAAAAGCAGATAAAGTCTGTTTACTTGGTTATCTCTAGTAAGGGTGTTATGAGTCTGTACAGAAACCATGGACTACGGAAAGTGTGGTCTTTATTGTCCCATCTCTGGAGGCTTCATTGGTGATGTAGCACCAGAAACACAGGTCTGAGGAGGAGCAATAGACAGTCTCAGTGAAAGGACTCTCAGGTGAAGCTGGAATACAGTGCAGTGGCATTTATAGACCTTCTCATCTTCAGCACTCTTAAACTCCTGGTGGTCCCTTGCTCTCCTCCAATTCTGGTCTGTGGCAGTTTGCTTTGATTCTAGAAATGTTTAAACAAACATCTTCTGAAACATCATATATAGGGTGAGTTTGTGAACTGAAACTTCTGAGAGTGCGCCTCATTCCCCTGATAAGTAAATACGTCTTGTGGAGGGCAAAACTGTGCCAGCATTACATGACACTGCTTCGTGCCTTGCACAGCTGTCCTGCTGAGATAAGTGAGACGATTTCACTGGTGGGGAACTGCCTGGACTTAATGCTGGAATCTGGGCCTTCATTTGGGGGCTAGAAAGCAAGGATCCTAAGACTAATGCAACATGGTATCCTCGAAATTTTACGAATAGAGGAAGTAGTCTTTTTCAGAAAATATAATTTTCTAAAGGTGGGGTACTCAGATGAGAACCTGTCTCAGTGTGATCTCTATGACTCCCTGTCCCCTACAGAAAAGTGTGACAGACAATGTCTATCATGGGGTGTAACGAGGCAAGATATGCAACTGAGTGTCTCTAGTATCCCAGTCGTGTGATTATCTCTTGATAACTACTACATCCCTGGCATACTTTTATGAGTTCAATTAACAGGTTTTTATTTTGTTAAGAGAAAGGATAGATTCAGCAGTTTAATGCTGATCAGCACTTCCAGATAAGACATATAGTTCACATGGATTATAAAACTGCTGTGACTGAGGAAGAATGCTGATAAAAGTAACAGGTAAATTAATCTTGGTTAACCCACAGTCCCAGAACAGAGAAGGGTGGTTAATTACAGCAAGGAGATGGAAATATATTCCAAAATATTGATTCAAACAGCTAGAGAGAAAGCAGCATGCATCCTAACAAACTTAAACAAATAAAAATCCACTGTTGTTGCATAGATCAACATGACTGCACTGAACAGCGATGCTGACATTGTTGTAAATGGCTTCCATGGCCAAGTGGTGCAGCTGTTCTCTCCCCACTGGAAATTAAGACCAGATGGGATTTGTAGAACTCTTCATCTTCACCATCAGCTAAGAAAGTTCAGAGGAAGGTTTCAAGAGGTATAAATATTCAGATTGGCACGTATGTGTGTGTTCTAGTATAATTCTCTTCTCAAAAACAGTAGGAAGTTTGAGGACACAATGAAACTCAGAAGTGCACCTGTTTGGTTCATTTTTATGCTATTACACTGGTTTATATCCTTGTGGTTATACTCTGAGGCTGTCCTGAGATATGCTACAGTTTTTTCACATGCTTAATAATTTCAGCATCCAAAGTCCAATCTTTCAGTTCTTTGTGTTTCCAGCTAAGAAAGGCTTACTATAACTGACAGCAGAAATAAACCCCAACACTGCCAGTATTCTAAGTTGAAGTATTTGTGTAGATGTTCTTCCGTGTTTTGATTGACACATGCATGGATAGGTGTGTGGGTGTTAGCAGTTACTTGCTAACTTGATTTCTCTTATTTATAATACCCAGTTGGGGATTTCTAAGAGCTGAGGCCCAGACCATATGGCATCATGACCGGATGTTGCAGTTTAACATAAGATTCTCATTTGTTTTAAATTCCTTTCCTGCATCATCCAGAGATAAGGACAGAGTGTCCTCTTCACTGTCATGGTTTAAGCCCAGAGGGCAGCTGTGCACCACACTTTACCCCTCAGGAATGGGAAGGAGAAAATAAAGCAAAAGGCTCAGGAATTGAGACAAGGGTACTTGGAGGGATGACTCACCTGTTACGGTCATGGGAAAAAGACTTGTCAGGGGAAGAAAAAAAGGATCAATTTCATTGAAACAACAACACTTAACAGACAGAGAAGGACAGTGAGGACTATTAGCCCATCTTAAAAACACCTTCCCCCCACCCCTCCTTTCTTCATGGGCTCAGCTTTGCTCCGTTTCCTTCCTCAATTCTCAAGCAGTGCAGGGGCAGGGGATGGGGGTTGCGGTCAGCCCTGCTGCTCCTTCCTCCTCAGGGGGAGGACTCCTCACACTCTTCCCCTGCTCCAGCATCAGGTCCCTCTCACGGGAGACAGTACTCTACAAACTTTCTCCAACATGAGTCCTTTCCACAGGCTGCAGCTTTTCCTAAGCTGCTCCAGCCTGGGTCCCTCCCACAGGCTTCAGCCCTCTCAGTGCCAAACTACACCAGTGCAGCCATCCTTCAGAGTCCTGGCCCTGTTCAGGCACAGCCCTCTGCTCCGGTGTGGGGTCCTCCACAGGCTGCAGGTCAGTATCTGCTCTGCCAGTGACCTCCATGGGCTGCAGGGGCACAGCCAGCCCTCTCGCCACAGGATACAGGGGGGGGTCTCTGCTCTGGTGCATCTCCCCCCCTTCCTCCTCCTTTTTTCCACTGAACTTAGTGTTCGCATAGGTGTCTCCCTCACAACTCCTCCTCACATCTCCCACTCCTCCTCTCAGGTTCCCCTTCTTAAATATGTTATCAAAGAGGCACAGTCACCATTGCTAACTGACTCTGCCTTGGCCAGAGGTGGGTCCAACTTGGAGCTGGGGGAGCTTGAAGAAGCTTCTCACAGGGGCCACCCCTCTAGCCACCTCCCACCCCTACCAAAATCCTGCCACACACACAAACCCAATACATTAATGGAGGAAAGGAACATCTCTAATTTCCATGCACTACTTGTTCCTGTACTGCTGAGAACTCCACGCTACTTAACTACAGAGGTCATCTTAAGCTCTTTCTCCAGACTTTTTAATGTTCACATACACAGGCTTTGTAATCTTTCCAGTTGTATTAGAGGTTTTTGGAACAAGTGGTAGCTATTGAAATACACTTATGGTCTATATTCTCATAGTATCTAAATTCCTTGGCATGTCTAGTCCGTGATATAGGAACATATTCTTTTTTAGAAAGATCAGAATCATGAAGACATAGAATAAATGCCTCAAATCAAGTTGAAAATTTGTAACAAAGGAAGAACTTGAATGTGAATCTTTTCACTCACTGGACTGGCGGATAAAGAATAAACTAGCCTTTATTCTCTGTGTTATATCTGTTCCCTCTGAGCTGCTGTAATACTTCTTCACTTGCTGTTATTACATATAATTACTTGATGTTGAGGAAATTGCAACAGATCTTCACTTGTGTGTTCTTTGTTACAGGAGTCAAATATTTTGAGTCCAATACAGGATGGGATGAAAAAACCCCAGATAGATAGCAATAAAAGCAACAACTACAATATTGTTAAAGAGGTTGGTATATCTGCTAAGAATCTTGTTTGACGTATCTATTTGATAAGTAAATTTAGTAATGATTTTGAAAGAATGTATTTTTGTATGTGATATGACTGGTTCTTTGCTTGCTTGCATGCTTATTTATTTGTTTGTTTATTTATAGATCTTGATTCGACTCAGCAAACTTTGTGTTCAGAATAAAAAATGTCGGAATCAACAGCAGCGATTGCTGAAAAATATGGGTGCTCATATGGTAGTCTTGGACCTTCTGCAGATACCCTATGAAAAGGTTATTCTCATAATTTTAGTGGTAAAGAACATGAACTCAATAAAGGGAAAGGCCTCAAGAGACCCAAGAATCAATGTGATATTTTTTTTTAAATTCAATTCAATAAACTATGGTACAAACATGAAATGATGATGCTGTTTTCTACCTTAAGAATAATGGGTTTAGGCCTAAGTTTAAATATGACTGCCTGCATAGAACAGGTTTTATTAAGAACATAATGTTTACTGCCTCAGTACCTGGATGTCACTGTGCTAGCATCCCATTTCCATAGGCAAACCTTAGATCTGCAGTCACTTCACAGTAAGAAGTATTGATTTATTGGAGCTCCTAGCAGGGTATCTAAATTCCACTGTTGAGAGCTATTGTAGATACATAAGATGGACAAAAAGCTTTCAAGGATTATGTCTGGAATAATTTATTTGTTTCTGCAGTGGAAGCCTCTAACCTAGTTCCACTTGCAAGTTTTTCAGAAGACAATGTGATTTTGTACTGATTTAGTGGCACTGAACCTACAAATGAATGATCTAGATAGCCTTTTAAAGAGCACATCTTTCTAGATCTTACAGGAAGTATTGAGAGGAGATAAAACCTCTTCTGGGCTACCTTTCCCTGAGTGTTACACACCAATATTATATACAGACATTGGGTTCAGCTGTCTTCAGTAAAATAGTGCTTGTCCATATAGGTGGTTCATCAAATCATAGTTAGAATACTATATGAGTGGAACATGAAATGGAGATGAAACTAGACATATATTTGCGTGGGAGTATGTGTATGTACATACATATTCGTGTAGGTGTACACACACATGCACACATACATCTGTTTCTATATGTAGCTATATAAAAGCCAGAGTTTTTCAAAAGCTTAAGATCAATGCAGGCTAGAGAGCTTTTTTTGAAAATCAAGCCACTTAGCACATTTTAAAACTAGGAAATTATAACTATGCATGAGGAAATCTTACTTTGAGTTTCTGCTCTTGCCTCTGACTCCCTATGGTCAAGTTGATTCAGGGTAAGGTACAGCCACTAATGGACTCTGAGGAAACTAGATCAGTTGCTTTTGCCAGGTGGATAATTCCTGCCTTATAAAGGCTCAGCAGAATTGATCTGTTGCTGGCTGAATTCATGTTCTGTGGTTTTAACAAGTATGTTTAGGTATGCCCAGCTCATTTTGTTTGTCTTTTCTTTCTGCAGAGTGATGAAAAGATGAATGAACTTATGAATCTAGCCCATACTTTTCTTCAGAATTTCTGTCGAGGAAATCCTCAGAATCAAGTTCTCCTCCACAAAAATCTCAACTTGTTCTTAACTCCAGGGGTAAGTATACCATTTTAATGAGAATTTTATACCTGCAAGTAAATCTGGACTTGCTGAAATATGACAGTCTTAAATAAATAATTTAATTAAATTATGCCTTCTCTGTCCTTGTCTTTTCTCCCTTATTGTTGCTCTTTATGTCATAGTTTTAATGTTGCCATTTTAAAAGTGGAAAACAGTATTACCTATGGGGTTTACTAGAAGTATCTATGAATATGTGTCACATAGTCACATCATGTTTAGCTTGACTGTGATCTTACTCATCCCAACTCACTCACAGATGGACCAGAAGTCAAGGTAAAAGATTCTGTGACTGCTGTCATGAAGCTTGTGAGACAGCAGAACCAGACCAATACCTTTTTTTTGATGATGCTTCCATTTGATTCAACTAATCTAAAATATTTTTTTTTATTAAATCATTGTCCTTACAATAAACCTCTTTGTCGTGGTTCCTTTGTGTATGTGTGCATTTACAGATACAGTCATATAGAATGACACCTTGCTCAGTGGCAGATCTACCAAGCAAAACATGCTTTTATTAGAAACAGTGTGAGTATTAGGATTGTAGACCTCTGGTCTACATTAAGAAGCATTTGTTCTGTTATTTTTTATTTATGCTTTTTTTTGGAAGTTAGTGAAAGGTGCTGAGCTGACCACAGTAGGGACTAGCCCCCAAGCCCCATCCTATCCAGCACTGACATAACTGGTGCCAAGTATCAAGCCTGCTTGCACTTGCATTTCTGTTCTTTTGAAGTTAATATTCTGATCATCTCAGTTACAGTGCTTTTGTTCATACTGTGTAGCAAACTTGGTGTGGATTCCTTTCAGATGACACTAAACAAAAAGGTATACTCTAGGAGCACACCTGACTCTCATGAGCCTTTAGTCCAAGGGACCAAACTAGAGCAAGTATGAAGCAAAAGCCCCAAGAATGCATAAAGTCAGGGTGCTGGGTCCTCAACAGTATCCCTTTCTTGCTACAGATCAGTTCCTCTTTTACTGTGCTACTCACTGATAGAAAGATAGCCTTAGGCTCCCTCTATAGTTAGTGTGGAAAGAGATGTTCTCTCAGAGAGTGATCAGACTGCATGTGCAATCATATGCCTAGAAATGTCTGCCTCTGTCAACCACAGAGGGAGACAGAGGTAGCTAATCATCTTATTTGGCTGACTCAATGCAAAGTTTGATGATGAGTGGGATGAACGTTGTCTCAGTTGTCTTATATACCAAAGTACCTATAGAGTGCTCTAGCAGTGCAGTGTGTTTGTGTCTTCACCTTCCACATGGTCACAGATACTGTTTATTCCCACTTTAGGCCCTAAGGTCACTACTTAATCACTGGGCTGGTACACATAGGACTTTTCCAGTTTCCCTTTACCAATGTGCCTTTCTCTAGTCTAGAGTCCTATGAATCTTTTAATCTCAAAACAAATCTGTTCTTTTCATAAGTCTGTTTTGGTTTTAATCTGTTTAGCTCCTGGAAGCTGAAAGCATGCGGAACATCTTCATGAATAATTACCTTCTGTGTAATGAAATTAGTGAAAGAGTGGTGCAGCACTTTGTACACTGCATAGAGACTCATGGCCGTCATGTGGAATACCTGCGTTTCCTGCAGACCATTGTGAAAGCAGATGGCAAATATGTGAAAAAATGCCAGGACATGGTAATGACAGAGGTAAGTGAAGGGTTCATATGTTAATCACTCGTGTGATGTCTTTTTAACACAGTAGTATTTTGAGGTTGCTTCTTCTGCTCTTATACCAATGAGATACAATGGCATCATAGCTTCAGAATTTTAAACAGTATCACAAATAATGAATATTTTAGCAGACAGTTTTGGAGAGTTTAATCTAATTTTGTAAGGCCATCTGTATAACTACTAGAAAGAAAACATGAGTGTTAGCACATTGATACAGAGATGTCTATTTGTAGATTATGTAGCATGGAAATCTCAAAGTTGCATAAACCTTCATTTTCCTGTACTGTAATTTAGGATCCCATCTACTCACCAGACTTGCTATATTGGGGCATGGTTTTGCCATATAAGAAGCTCTTACCTCTATGCATTTGTCTAAATAATGTTGTAGACCATTTTTTTAGTATGTAACCATGTAACAATTCTAGGTACTAGTTTCTGCTTTTGCTTCTTTTGTTCCAGAATATTTCTGTGAGAGTTAGTAGATCTACTCTAGCTTTAACTAGCTAGATTTGGAGTCTGACCCAGTAAATTCCACGGAGTAGTTTGTGGACAAATCTTTATGTCAATAAAGTTACTAGGAAAATACTTAATTGACTTCTCTGCAATTAGGATTTGTTATATAGTGTGCATGATAAATGAAGTATTCAACTTGCAGACACTAGTGCATTTAACTGTAATTATGTTAAAGAGTTCAGTGAGATTAATAAGTGGGTAAAGTTGAATACAGTGAAAAGTCTGGGTAAGAGCAGAGTCCAAGGAACATTCTTCTTTTCTTTACAAAGTGCATTTTTTTGGTTTTTTTGAAGAGACATCTTCACAAAGAAAACAGACATAAGCTCTAGTTGTGTTATAAACATAACTAAACCCTGCTGAATTTTTGTTCCACAGCAACAGAGGAAAAACTTCTAATTAAGAAAATAAAGCTTCAGCCTACATGGATAACCTTTAATGGAATCGACCTCAACCTTTTCAATATGACTGAAGTGTTTTAGCATGCAATATCAATTACAAGCCTTTGATTTACTTAATTCAAACAGTTCTTGTGCCTTTGTGCTTTTAGATTTTTCCCCTTCCACCACAGCTTCTTGTAGGTTTTTATTTTCACATCAAACAAAATTTTTAGATTTTTCTCAATTTAAATACATTTGTTACTAACCTGTAATAGCACAAAGATAAATTGCCATATTACATTTTCAAGCTGACTGCAAGATGAAAATCGAAATGAACTTGGATGTGACATTTACATCATGAGTCCTGCAGAAGTTTTCTGGGGAGAGTGTATACCCCTATTTGATGAAAGAGAGTAAGATGATGATCTGTTTTAAAAAGCATAGGAAATTGCAAGTAAGTAATTAAGATTTGTTAGAAAAGGATGCTAATAGTGAAATTTGTATGGCACTTGAATGGCAATGCAGTATGACGGAAAAAATGTAGCCAAATGGTTGGAACTTGCCATGGAGCCAGGACAGTTTCTTGGTAGACAACTGAGGTGTGCTCAGTGGCCTTAAACAAGTGGTGTAACTTTTCTGTGCTGTCAGATGGGTCATGTAAACAATTTACCACAAGACAAAACAGAGTATGATTGTACAGCATGCCTCAGCTACTCCTGTGTTTTCTTTTACCCACAGGTAGTATATTGTATCTTATTCCTATTTATTGGATGTGAGGGATAAACTGATCATATTTATGTCTTTTAGAAAGTGCATATAGATGGAGCACCATTGCAAAAGCATACTTTTATAAAATCAAACATTCCCAATCTGTCTTTTTCACTTGTTCTCATATCCTTGGTCCCTATGTCTGTAGAGTGCTAGTAATGATGTTTACCGACCTGAAAGGTTCTTTAGGGCATTTTCATTACAAGCATGCTTTGAGGTTCCTGGAAGAACAGAGCCTATCAATGCAAACATTATTACAAAAGGGAAAGCAGAATTTACTTTTGAACTAGATCAATGTGGCAGCAGAATTTTCTATTATCTATAGTGTTCTGGAGTGATACACTGCACAAGTCAACAGCTGTTCTGATATTGACCAACCTTCATTATACTTCCATAGAGTTCTTAACTTATTGAAAATATACTTTAGTGGAAGAAAATTCTGCTGAGGTTTTTTGTGGTTTTGAGGGTTTTCTCCCATCACTGAGCTCATGATGCTCAGTGAGAACTTTAGCTAACACTGGATGCTTCTCTTCTTTTTCTACTTTTAAAGGAACATAATTTTCTCTGTTCAGATCAATATTTGGACACCCTTCACAAATCACATTTAAGAATGTATAACTTGGGGAAAGTTGCATAACCTCTTCTGCCTTTGCATTTACAGTGATTACCTTGTCCCCCTTTATTCTTCTTGTGCAGATGCAACATCATCTGCTTTGGTTTGTCAGTATGTCACAAGCACGCCATGTAGCATTATGTTTCACAAGTTCACTATTTCCTGGTATTTCTTCCTCATTCATTAGCGATAATAGGTACATGAAAGGATGAGGGGTTAGTTTGACTTAATATGTGTCCTGGTTCAGCTAGGATAGAATTAAGTTTCCCCAGCAGAGAGGGGGAAGGGATCTCCAGGCAGGTTATTCATACCATGCTGACGTTAGGTCTGGTACGGGAGCGCAGGAACTTTTTCCTTTGTGGCTTGGGTCATGGGGAGCACAGGGCTGTCTGTTTGCGGTATTTTCTCTGTATATTTTTTGTCTTGTTTACTGCTGTTACTGTTTATTATTGTTATGATTGCTACTGTTGTTGTTCAGATTGTTTATTACACTGTTCTATTAAATTTCTTCTTCTTTTAACCCAGGGCTTGTGCCTCACTTCCAGCCTGACTGGCTGAGGGTGGGGGAGGGGCAACAGCAACCTGGTCTCTGGTTCCAGCAGGGTCTAAACCACCACAGCCTTTTTGGCACACCAACATGGGGCACAAGAGGGTTGAAATAAGAATCAAAAAGGGATAGACCCTTACCAGAGTGTGTTAGAGCAATCTGTTGGTGTCCTGGTTCAGCCAGGATAGAGTAAAGTTTTCCCCAGCAGAGAGAGAGAGGGGGGGAAGGGATCTCCAGCCGGGTTATTCATACCATGCTGACGTCAGGTCCGGGGGCGGAACCTTTTCGTTGCTCCTTGGCAGGTTCGGGAGGGAATTTTGCTTTCCGTAGACCAGCTAGCGGTATTTCTCTGTATATCTTTTGTCTTGTTCACTATTATTGCTGTTTATTGTTGTTACCATTGATACTGTTGTTATTCAGATTGTTCTATCACTCTGTTGTTTTAAATTTCTTGTTATTTTAGCCGGGGTCTGTGTCTAACTTCCAGCCCGACCGGCGTGGGTGGGGGAGGGGCAACAGCCATGTGCTCTCTCGTCCCGTCAAGGATTAAAACTTGCACATTTATTAATTGGTGCCCAACATGGGGCTAAGCTATAAGAATAAAAAGGGACAGACCCTGACCAGAGTGTGATAGAGCAATCTGTTGGGTGTAATTTTTTTTTTTTGTATTTGTTTGATAAGAAAATGTTTGCGATGCTGGCCCACATGTTTGGGTGGTGCGGCTGGATTACTCCTTATATCCAGTGTGTGATCCCTGTGGTGGGGTTTGTTATGGGTGGAAAATCTATAAAGGTTCTTATGTTGGTATACGGGCTATTGAACGCATATGCTGCCTTTGTATCGCTCTGTGTGTGTGGGGGTCGGTACCTGTTTGCCGTTTGGGCTTTTGTTAGGGGTATCACCCCCTCTGTGGGTGAGCCAGGGGAAGAGATCCTCTCGGCTTTGCGGCGGTTTAGCCCCCCCGGAGCCTGCAAGCCAGCGTGATTGTGGCACTATGCCTTCTGAATGTCTGCCTGATTTCGGTTTGGGCCATACGGCATTTCTCTAACAACAGCAGTGCCCGGAAACCTGCCCCGAGGTCAGATAATAGTGAGTAGCAAGGGGTGTGGGAAAAGATGGGCAAAGGCCTGAGTCGGTGGGCACCCCCAATGCTTTGGAACTTCACTCCTGAACAAATGCAGAGCCCTGAAAAGCTGATGGAGTGCTTAGAAAGGGTGTGCTACCAAACCGGCAACACCCAGGAGACACAAATCACTGCAATGTGTTGGGGACTTGCCCATGCATACCGTGTCCTCTTTAATACCACCCGCTGCCCTCAAAGGGAAGAAAAGGCCACACAAACAATATCTGAACTGGGGGCACAGGCAGAGCCAGACTCAGTCGCCTCCACCAGCACAGAGACTGAGCCAGAACGCCAGGCAGTGCCAGTGTCAGTCGCCCCAATACAGAAAACCAAATATACCAGAAAGTCTGTCCGCAGAGTGAGGGATGAGGATGAGCCAGGCCCATCAGGTGAACAGGAGGAAGGACCAGAGGTGATTGTCCGATCTCTGTCTCCGACTGAGCTGTGAGATATGCGGAGAGATTTTGGCCACCTGAGAGGCGAGCAGATTTGCACCTGGCTGCTCCGATGCTGGGACAATGGAGCTAGTGCTTTTGAGATGGAGGGGAGAGAGGCCAAGCAGCTGGGATCTTTGGCCAAGGATGCTGGCATTGATAGGGAAATAGGGAAGCAGACTCAAACCCTCAGCCTTTGGAAGCGACTCCTGTTCAGTGTAAGGGAGAGGTACCCCTACAAGGATGATATCCTATGTCAGCTAGGCAAATGGACCAGCATTGAGAAAGGCATCCAAAACCTCAGGGAACTGGCTGTGTTTGAGATGATCTATGGTGATTTGAATAATGAGCAGTCACCCATGGACCCAGATCAGGCCCCTTGCACACACCTGATGTGGCGAAAGTTCCTGAAGAGCGCACCAGAAGCACACTCGAAAGCATTGGCAATAGTGTCCTGGTGGACAGAAACCCAGACTCTTAACAGTGGATGGAGTGGTTGGCAAGCTCCGGCAATATGAGGGAAATCTCCCCTCACCTCAACTTTCCCTTATCTCAGCTGCGGAGGAACTGTCTCAGAGGGTTCAGAAAATGGAAGAGGACA